CTCAGAGCTCTGACCTCAAAAAGAGAACAGTTACAGCAGCAGATTAATACCCATGGTTTTGATATAAATTGTCCCAACAATCACATGTCCACATGTCCACATGTCCACATACTTTAGGCTATGTAGTGTAGTCATACCGAACAGGAGACTGTTGATAAGTGGAAAGTCTTAAGTAACGCAGATGTTGATTACATAACAGTCGTGCTAATCTTTAAATCTGAAAAACATGTAACTATAGTCAGTCAGTGAATTATAAGATGAACAAGAACATGAAATTACAAACACATCTAGCAAGACACCCCTTTAGAACTTTGGGGGGAAAAAATCATTATGTACTGTATTTGTTTGTTTACCAAATCTGGCTCATACCCCGAGCTGTCATCAGTGTTAACATTTCATTCAAGGTAAGAGGAGCAGTCAGCATCCACTCCTGTCCCAAGTACAGAGATATCATTTAACCAGCTGGCAGTGTGCGGAGGGACGGCACACACTGGTGAGTCACGGACAAAAATACTCTGTTTACAACATTTCTCTTGTGTAGGCTCCAGCACTGTGAAATCTAATGCAGCTCTCTACTTTGAGGATGTTTGGATGAAGAGGATACATTTCCTGTGACGGTTACACGCTGCCAACAGCATCAAAGAGTCAGAAATAGGGCTCCAGTTCCGCAATGGTCAGTTAAAATAGGAGATTTCTGTAAAACAATGGGGTCACAACCAGAGGAATTTAAACCAGCAAATACTACAGTATATACTTATACAAAACCTTGAAAATATCTGTATATACTTTCTTACTTTAACCTTCTTGGTCACAAAACTCCCATACCTTCAGAGGTGCATCTGGATACAGCACACAAAGTGGACACAATAACATGAACATCTGCACAATAATGCAAACAACTGAAACTGCCTTGAAATAAATACCACTTTGGGAGGTTTGTAGTATTTAGTTTTGTTTAGGGCCTTTTAGAGAAGTGTTGCCCTGAGTATCTTTCTTGGCCCTGATTGGTCGTTTTTGTTCAGATGCAGTGGATTCTTGCAGATACCATTAGGAGCTCTAAGAGAAGCCAGAGGAGCCTATTTTTTTCATAGATTATCTGTCTCATGTACTAATGTCAGGATATATGGAAAGTTTCAACAAATATGAATGAATATGCGGCTATGTTTTTATAATAACATTGCATCAAATGACTGTGTGTAATGTGAAAGGAGTTGCTTGTAGTGATGAACCCACAGATAATTACCCAACTCTGCAGTTCCCCCTTTACGGAGCATTTTAGCATCTTTCAGCTCATTGTTTTGGTTTTACGGCTGAAACTTTTCTGTTATGACCTACTGTATGCCTGATAGCGACTAGCTGGTGAATGCAGTGTGGCATTTAACAGTTCAAGAGCCAGATATTTTTCCCAGGAGTTTCTCCTACATGCTAGGAAGGCAAGCGGTATGCAGTTGGTTACAATCTGCAACTTCACCACTAGATGCCACTAAATCCTACATGCTGGTCCTTTAATAAAAGCTTTTGATATTTAACGTATTTTCACATTGTGGTATTGCTACTATTACTAAAGTGCGTTGATTATACTCAACAGTTAGTGGTGGTGGTTTGCATTATGTAGTATAGGTGTGTAGATGTACACACAAATGCCAACGCACACACTCCCCACCTCCCAGACAGCAGAAAGGAAAGCTTGTCGATGGGCGTCTTGCCCTCCACAGCGTACGTCTCTCCTGCCTTCAGCTCCACAACCTTGTTCTCAAAGGCACCTGTGATCTCCTTAAACACCTGGATGGGCACGCCCAGCGGCAGGTAGACCGCCTGGTAGAGGCTGGTCAGCTCCTCACTGTGTATGCCCTCCTGGTGCAGCCGGTAAAGGAGGTGGCAGATCTGCACTAAACAGGCGAGCAGCAGAAGCAGGTTCCAGGTGAAGACGTCCAGGCCGCACATCGTCATCCAGCCCCACAGGGTCAGGCACACAAAGGCTGGGGTCAGGAAGCCAAAGATGAAGAGGCACCCATAGGCCCCGCTGCCTCCCATGTAGCCCAGGAACAGGAAGGTATGACCCAAATGGTAGATGGCCCCCTCTGTGTTGTTGGTCCAGCCATCGCAGAGAGGGGCAAAGAACAAGCTGTCCAACAGAGTCGAGTTGTCTGTGCTCATGTTTGAAAGTTCTCAAATGACAAGCTGAAGAGAGGCTTTTGATGCACAAAATAAAAAAGGACCAAAAAAACTTCTTATCTAATGAAACTTGGTGCTATTTCTGTCTAATCAACGGTTACAACTAAATGTTTTGTTTGAAAGCTCGATCAAAAATAAACAGCTGGCACTGACCAAAAATGTCAAAAGTAAATGTTTGTTCCCTTGGCGTGCAGTGGAAAATTCTTCAATGTGAAGAAGTTCTCACGGCTCTATTTGTTATAGAAACACAGCTGGAATGGGTTTCTTCTTCTTCTCTCATTATGCGTACGTTCCTCTCTCCTCTGGCTTCTCCTGCCGTCTTTCTCTTCTGAGTCTTCCTGTCGTTTCTCTTGCCGTGCTTTTCCGTCTTTCTCTCTCGCCCACCGGCCTGCACTGCAGAGCCAACAGCTGGAAGAGAAGGGACATGGGAGGCGGTGGTGGTTGCGGGGGGGAGTTGATAGAGCCCTAGAAGGATAACCATGTTTGGAATTGAAACCCAAGGAGGAAAGAGTGGTGGACAGAAAGCAGGCCCGCTACTTAACATAACAGAAAGAGAGAGAGAGAGGCAGGAAACGGGAGGGAGGAGAGGGACTATAACAAATATCTCTGAGAGACTGAGCCTCACAGAGTGTCACACACATTTGAAAAAAAGAACATCCACTCAGTTCTTCCTTCATTTAAACTTTGAGTTCAGTTTACTCTCAGGAGAGCAGCTCCGCTGGTGCATATTTAGAGACTGAAATAAGTAGGATGACAGCACAGGTCAGATTTCAGGTATAAACACCCACCAACACTGCCTCACATATCCGGCTGTCCTCTCAGCTCACAGGGAGTCCATCTCAATCCATTAGAATTTCAGTTCCCCGCTTTATTTTTCCTTTTTTTATCAGAGCATGAAAATAAACAATATGGTAATAGGATGCAAAAAATAAAAAGAATACGTAAATGTATATTAAGCAAAATGATGGCCCTATCCATCAGTGCCAGTCATCCTGTCATATAACTACTTTTGTTGGATGATATATTATCCCAGAAGTGACTGCAATAAATGGCATTATTGTCATTTTAAGACCGTGTTATGCCACTATAATCATAGGCATAATAATGCAAGTACAACCTTTCAAACAGCAATTAACTTTTAAAAACTTAAGAATATTTAAACTTTGAAATTGGTATGTGAAAAAAATATTGAAATTAACTTTGTTTTAAAGAGGGTTAAATTGATTAATTTAATCTTCAGTTTTTTCTTTTAGGTTACAATCACACATGCTTTATTATTTTTTATTTTGTTGTAGACATGAAAGTCTGAAAATATGAATATATAATTAATGTGAATTGGTATCTTTATTTGGGATTTTTTCAAGTGTGTAGATTAGGCCTGTCAAACTCTGATGCCTGAATTGAGACAGTAAGAAAACCATCTGTTACAGTAACAGTATTAACAATAGAGTGTCACATTGCTGATTTAAATCTTTTTAAAGGTATTTTCTTCTGTGAAAAACAACTGTTCTACAACAGGTGATAGACAAAATAAGGTTTCACAAAAATACTTTTACTTTACAGTAGCCATTTAGCAATGCCAGGTTCTACAAAAGGGGATCATATCTAGCTGCATACCAGTTTGCAATGTGAATAAATCCCAGTATACTGAATATATCTGTTCACCATTTCTCAGGATTTCATTGACATTTTTTTAAAGTGATGCTGCTATAGTTTAGGTGCAGATTAAGCCTCTTGAGCTGTTGTTTCCCCAGACTGTACAGTGATTACTGTAAGATATAATACCTGACAAACTGAAATTACGCCAACAATGACTGACATGTTCACACTTTTGTCTCTAAATTAAATTGAGGTGTGAAGGTCACAATGAACTGGTGTGGTGAAGAATTTGGACCACACGAGAGCTGCAATGATTAGTAGACAGAAAACAACTTCGATAGGGATACAATTTTTCATGCAAAAATGGCAGATGCTTTTTTTTGCCTCTCAAATGTGGAGGTTTCTGCTTTTCAGTTTAATATAAGTAATTTAACATGTTTGGACTGACAACATTAAAAGACCTCACCATGGACATTTTACAATTTTAGACATTTATCTAGAAAATTTGACAAGCATTAGTTTGTTGCAGCCCAGACCAGACAGTGTCTGGAAATACTTTATGGGAAAATATATAGCTAGGAAGTCAACTTAACATGCAACTACAAAAGAAAAAAGTGTGAATTAAGACACCACTGCAGAAGTGTAGTAGCTTAGCAGTTTTTTTTAATGTGTTGGAGTAGTTATCCACTGCCAGGCACACCTCAATATGAGTGACACACTACAGGGGAAGAATGCAGATATGCCAAGTATTGACTTTGCAGGGTCAGGAGTTATTTTTAAGCCTAAGTGCATACCAGGGACAGCAACTGTGGCAAGCAACCAGTCACTGAGAGAATAGACCTTCAATACATGAACATTAAGAATTCTTACATTTACACCAAAAATCATTGGACAAACCAACAATGAGTTATTGCATAGGACTTTTATTCAATCAGCAATTTAGATATTCACAAATAAATTCTGAAGGACTTTAAAAAACACTTTCACAGAAAGACAATCAACCCATCAGAGCCTAAGTGCATGATCGCCACATTTCCCTTCCAGTTGTGGTATAAATAAGAGGGGGAAAGAAGGGAATGTCCAGGGTCGTCTTCCACTTGCACAGCAACACACTGCAGAAGAGAAAACAAAACAAAAAACCACCACAATGAGCAGGTCACAGGTCTAACAGTTAAGTGTGACTGTAGTATTAAACAGCAGAAACTGAAAAAAAAAAATGTGCAAAGGCTGAGGCTTTGTTTCATGTCAAGTAAAGAAACCTCTACCACATCGAAGACAGCTTACTATATAATGCATGTTTGTTTTGTAAGGTTCTGTCTTTGTAGGAAGTTTTTCCTTTACAAGAACAGGTTAATATTTACAGTGCCAGATAGCGAGGCCATTTCAACTGCACCACATGGCTTTAGGCATGTTTTATGTGTAGTCATGTACAGACAGTAGACACTCGCCCCACCCCCCACTCCTTCCATCTCTGGCCCTCATTACATGATGTTCCAGTCTGATACTGCAGTTTGTGCACAATTTATGAAACCAGCTATACAAGAGGCAGAGTGAAGCTATGAACAATCTGGTGAGTGCAGATACATTCAGAAGTGCCATTATCTGAGGTTAGGCATTTACATGGTTCACAGAAAGGGCAGTTTTACACACCAGAGTGACTCAATGCAAACTGGCCTTAGGTTGTCACAACATATTGGGCAGTGGCATGTCAACTGAGCCATGTGTCACCAGGACATGCATGCAAACTGAGGGTTCAACATCCAGTTTTCAATTATGTAGTTAACCAATAAAATGAGGACTAAATAAAATTAAGTTTAAAACGCAGAAATTTAACATTTTTAACAACTTCACACGTGTCAAGGGGCAAACTGAACACATTCCTTTTAAGCCGGCCTCTGGCATGATCACACTTCCACTAGCCAATTAACTGAAGGTCAGATAGTGTTTCAAAGGTCACGTGCATTTTAAAGACTGACATGTAATCCAGCTCAGGCACTAGTTATAATCCAGTTTTGAATTAGTCTGATTTTACTTGAAGTGCATGCCAGTGCACTGTTCTAGTCTGCTAGTTCAGCTTGTAGGTAACAATGGCTGAATCAACAACAGCTGGGGGACACAAACGACCCAGCACAAGGAAATTATAGTTGCAAACAAACCACTCTCACATAGCCAGCCCCATCTCCACACTTCTGTTAGTGCTGTGCCAGCGCTGGAGAAAGGGCTGTATTCTGTTATGGGGGAATCCTCAGCTTGTTCGCATTTAAATGAATCACAATCATCTTGGGCAGAGCTGAACCGAGGATGCAGCGACAGTCCTTGCAGTTTAGTGTCCTGGGGGAACTTTTGCACAGGTGGTGAGACCTGGCAGTGAAATGGCTTAGTCCCAGCAAAAGAAAATGGTGCATAAAACAGTAAAAATATATGGACTGTGATACAACTTAATGAAACGTTAGAGTCACTTCATCTGCACTTCAGGGTGAAGCCCTTTACTGGACAGTTTAATAGCTGTATGTAGTTTGTGCAAAACATTCAACCGATATCGCGGATAGCTTGTTTGTGAAGTGGAACGGTAGACTGGTCAAAAGTGCCATTTCCAGCACGTATGTTGCTGTGTCATGTAGCAATGGAGTCTCAGATATTAAGAGGGGAGAAATACAACTGGATTGGTTGGCTAATGGCAGCTTTATACCCGCAGCCGTCTGGTAAGTCAGACTACAAACAAGCTGATGGGGAACTAAAAATAAAAAGTTCTGTGTGTCTACACTTGTGATGTCTGATTTGAAACTTACCACACACACAAAATGGAGTAGTTAAATCTTGAATCCAAGAGCCCTCATGCAGTCTTTATGTGCCTCAATCAGGTCTGTGCATTTCTCCTCTCCCTTTTCAATGATGCTGGAGGAAAAAAAAAAAAACATACATGAGGCATCAAAACATTTTCAACTTCTTGCAACAAGGAAGGTGTTTCAGTCCCTTTGGCCAGGTCCTTACCAAACATCCCTGACTTTCTTGGTCTCTGGACAGGCGCAGCAAGGTTTTAGTGGCTTCTTCTGCTCAGTGCCCTCAGTCACAGCAGCATGCTCCACGCTGGCAGCAGACACGGTCGACATCTTCTGGCTGAACTAGATAAAGTAACACCTTTTAAGTCTCTTGACTAGCAGATTAAAGATACAGAATGCTACTTTCACATTAGTGAGAGTGCAATAGATTTGTATCTCCAGAACATTGGATCAGCCCACTTTTCATGGAAGTTGGGATGCAGAGAAGGCCCTTTTCCACAGAAGACCATTTGACAGGTAAGGAAAGCACAGTTAAAATGAATGACCCATGTAGTTTGCTAAAGTTTAAGGGTCGTTGTTTTGTGCAAACTGTCAGCTAACAGGAACAGAGGTCATCTTTGATGTTGTTAGCAAGCCCTTCCTGTCTGTTTTAAGTCATTGTAGGGCTGCAACCATTACCTTCATTATCACTTACTCTGCCTTTCACTCCATTACTTGCCCTCCTGGTTGTATTAGAACCACAGTGACATTGAATTGGGCAGGACTGATGTAGCGTTAGCTAAGATGATAGCCTCAACTAGTCGACACGCAGCACGCAGCACAGGTCATTGACAGGACGAGGATTTTCATTTTCCAGACACTTTAAAGTCTTTGGCATGTTAAAGCGGCGGAATAAAGCCAGACACGGCCACCATGTGTCCGGCTGAGTCGTGGTTACCTCGCTTTAGCCAACAGTTTGGACACATTGCATAACTCTCGCCAGCTAACATGGCTAACAGTGATAACGTTGCCGACAGAGACAAACGTCACAAACGTTATCTGTATCGTAGCGGACAATGACACCATTCAATGAACATACAGTAGTAACGTTAGTAATACTTCACACGCCTGCGGACTACAGCAGCTGCTCTGTTATGTAACTTACTTGTATGGAGGCTAGCGGGACAAACTTAAGGACGCTTCACCTTCAAAATGAAACCAACGCGGAGAGGCCAAGCTCACGTGTGGGCTTTTTATACAAACTCATGTGATTACAAGAGTGAACGGAGAGGCTTCTGGGATATGTAGTGTTTTGTAGCAAACGCGGGACGAGAAGGACAACACGTTAGCACAACAGACCAGAGCCTCTATGAATGTAACATTACTACAGTAAGCTTTTCAAATGCATATCATTATATAAGTTATATTATTCTAGACTGGAAAAAATGGTGTTTTTAGTTACCTTGAAAACAAACAAAATTATTGACTCAAATGCCAATTAACAGCTAGCTAAAATTAAATAAAGTTAGCTGAAACCTGGTAACTTAAATGAGGTTTGTTCATTTGTTTTATGTGAAACTCTTTTTTGACCCTTTTTTGTCTTTCAAAGTGAAGACAGATAATAGGCAGATAATCTTTATTTCCTAATTAGTTAGCTAATACGTTATTTTTTTTAAAGTGGTAGCAAGTTATAAGTTAGAATACATACAGAAACAAAACAAAAAAGGTGACATTACACAATACTATTACCACAAAGGAATTGCAGTGTAATTCTATATAAATCAATACAAATTTAACAAACAAAAAATATATTAAAAAATTATATTTAGGTTTTACATGAGTTAATTCTGTGTCTAAGGACAGCTTCAAGAGAGACATTGCACTGCTGGCAGGTTAGGATCTACAGAACATACATTGCTCAGTATAACATCTGGCAAATGATACGATACAGATCGATATCATATACAGAGGTTATGATTCAATATATTGCCATATATTATTTTATTATTATTTTTAAATCTTGTATTCAAGAAAACTGTCATAGTATAAAGAAAACATCATCATATCCATAAAATTGGAGTTAAAAAAGTTGGGAGTGGGATCACAGTGGGATCTGCATTTGTATTTCAGAATCAGAATCAGAATTAGATTTATTGTCAAGTAGGTTTTTACACCTACGATGAATGTGTCCTGGTGCATTGGTGCATCAAATATACAAATATACAAATCACACACCAAAATAAAGTACTTTCAAAATATAAATATATAAAGATAGGAAAAGAGAACAGTGCAGAAGACGGGAGTGCATTAATGTAATGCATACTGTATATACAGGGTGGGTATAAGAGTCAGTGTCAGTGGGTAATCCGGGCCTTGTTAATGAGGCCAGCTGCAGATGGGAAGAAACTGTTTTAGTGGCGAGAGATTTTGGTCCTGATGGACCGCAGCCTCCTGCCAGAGGGAGGTGTCTCACATTTATCACAGTGCCTGTAACACCCAACATCATAGCTCTCTGTTTACAACACTGCTATCTAGCAGTTGAGGGTTCAAACACAAAAAACAAAAGTCTTTTTTTGGCAGCGATACAATATCAGAAAATTGTGATACGATATTTTTTGAGATTTTCTTACTCCCCTGGTAGCAAGCGTTGATTTGCATAAAGAATGAAACCCTCAGCTCTGGTGTTTCTGGTGCATCTAGCTCACTTCCACTCCTACCCAGCCAGTACACACACACACACACATTTTTCCTGACCTATAAAAAATTAATAGAATGAAAATTCATCACTACGCTGTTCAAATGTGATGAAGTTGCTGCTACTGCACCATTATTCATGTATCATAATATAAAAATTCAGATAAACCTTTTTTAAACTGCCGGATGAACTGGGAGTGAATTTCTCTCTCTCTCTTCCCGGTTGGGCTTCAGCAAAATTTTCAGGTATATTTTTATACCTCTGGTGTTTACCTAATGGTGCTATAGTTACTAGTTACTTCATTGAATAAGATTTCACATAAAAACAAATGGTAAGCATGTAAGAAAAAATGTCCAAATTCTCTGATTTCAGCTTCTCAAAATGTGAATATTTTCTGGTTTCTTTAGTTCTCCGCGACAGAAAACTGAATGTATTTGGGTTGGGGGAAATTAATGAATTAATGAACTGAACAACTAATCAATGAATTGAGAAAGTAATAGACAGATTAATTCATAATGAAAATAATTGTTAGTTGCAGCCCTAAGTCAGCGGAGAAGTAAATGATGTGTCAGTATCCCATAATCCATGAGTGTAGCAACACAAATGAAACTACTGCCACTTCTAGCTTTCCCTTATGTTTGGAAGGGTTTGCAAGCAGTACCACAGTAATATTGTTCAACTTTTCCTCTGGGTAATACACTAGGAGGATAAGATCACTGTGATAGGGCTGCAAATTAATCAAAACTGAAGTATTTCAGTATTGATTACTATGTCCATTATTTTTTCAGGGGAATTATTTATTCTCTAAAGTGACAAATCAATGTGCTCCAAAAGAGCAATTCAGTTTATATTGATATAAAAATCAGCAAATCCTCATTTTGAGGTGTTTTACTTTTTTATTTGATAAATAAAAAATCATTTCAATTCTTAATTTATTAGCAAAATGTATTAAATTATTTGTTAATTGACTAATCAATGGCTTGCAATGTTGTGTGTTCCTGTGAAATATCAGGTAAAGGTGCTTATACTTTGTACTGATAATTAAAAAAAGAACTGTATCGAAAACATCAACCACCACACAGAATTGTTGCTGTTTCAGTGACCTTGGCAGATACTGTATTCTGTGCTGTAAATATAGCTGCTGGTAGCTAGAATATACACTACAGTAGCCTGGGAGATTTGTAATGTGAAAAATGTTAATTTTCTGTCCTACAATACTGAGGGTATGTGTTTGTTTTTACATGCCTATTGGGTCTACAGTGCGTCAGCACAGGAAAGCAGTGCGTAAGCAGAGGCACTGAGTCATTTATTCTAGTTTGAGGGCCAGCTGTGTGCTAGATAAATGAGCAAGTAAGCATATTGTTGGTTTGCTCTGCACTGTGTTATAGATATGCACCTCCATTTTAAACACACATTGCTGCTGTACTCGGTTTTCATCACTATAGTGTGGTTCATATAAGAAAACAAATGCAAAATATGCAAATGGAATTGAAACACCCTTTAATTCACTCAGTTTTAGCTGACGTGTGTCTTTGTCTTGGCTTCCCCTGTAGAAATCTGCCCCCTTTAGGAGGAGAGGTGTAGGACTATAGTCCTGACCATCAGCCACCTCCTGTGTGCACAAAGCCTACAGCGGCGTCTAGGAAAGCAGCAGTGTAAGCACTATTGTTTATTTTTCTTTGATCTGCATTAGCTGTGCAAAAAGGAATATTCTCCCATGTAATCCATTACAATAAACCTTGTCCTTTGTCGGAAGAGAGAACGTGTCACATACCAATGCACAAAACAATGGAAAACACGAACCAAACTTTCATTCGATGGCACTGTAACAATGGATAGCAAATGACAGTCTGAAAGCCCCTTAAAGGTCCAATGTGTAGGCTTTAGTGCCATCTAGCGGTGTAGTTGCTGATTGCAACTCCTTTGCTTCGCCCTCCCCTTCCAAGTACGAAAGACAAACTACAGTAGCTGTGAAATGCACAAAAAACATGAACTACCCTATTCTAATTTCCAGGTCATTATGCACAAATGAAAAGATACCTATGAATATTATGTTCCATTTCTGCCAATAGCTCCTCCTTAATGTTACACAGTGGACCTTTTAGAGGGAGAGCTGCGGTGTGGTGTGTGGTAGCTACTGCCTAAGGTACTTAATTAAGAGACTTTCTTTATGACAGCACTGGTTGTTTGTTCAAACAAAACACATCTTTTCCAGTTAATCGACCTAAAACTCTCAACTAAAAGACACCGCCCTGCCAGTGGCACTGATCTATATATAAGAGAAAAAAAATGTCTTCTTTCCTGCATGCCACCACTTATAGTGTTTCCTGTTTGCTCTACTGCAAACGACACAGGGAAAAATTGTCCAAGGATGAACAAAAAACAATAATCTCATAAAATGTCCCTCACATTATTAGACACATCTCATGCACTAAACTGCCAGTAATTCACCTCACTCACTGACATGCCCCATCAGTTAATCCCACTGTGCTGCTACATCCTGTAATATCATTTTGGTTTTTCATTTTTTAAACTTTGCTGCGATCCTGCCAACCTTCAAGATCTAGCTGAATAAAATCCCAATCCTCTACTCTGTAACCCTTGAAATGAAATATTTCAGCTTCTGTGTTGTTCTGTTACTGTTTTGAAATATGCAAACAAACAACTCCAGAGCTGGCTCAGAGCTGCAAGCATATGTACAGCATCAGGTAACACAGTACAGTGTTTAATTACATCCCAGGTAGAGATGGCCCAGACCGAACTTGTCCCTGCACATACTGCCAGATGTCTAGTTCACATGACAATAATTGTGATCCTCTCCACACACACGCACATGCACACGCATGCCATTGTCTTCAGTATTAATGTGAGCTGGACCTTACCCTCTTGACATGGCTTGATTCATGTGGGGATGAGACACAGATACTGAATAGTTGATGAGCTGGGACAAAAAGAAAAGAAGTGGAGGGGTGCGGTGGGGGCAGAAATAGAGAGAGGCAGACGTAGAGGGAGGGAGGGAGGGAGCAGAAAGGCGGGTATCCACTCGCCTCATTCCACACAGCTTCAATAAGCCCTGAGGTTGGGAGACTTGATGGAAAATTACCTTGTGACCAAGAGGGGAGGTCAGGACTGGTAGAATCAGACTCCACTTTTCCTAAGCAGAAGAAGCAGCAGCAGCAGCAGCAGAGGGAGGATGGCCTGCGCATTCGGCTGATAAGAGGGGGAACAAGGTCGGGCCATGGAGAAACTAAAAGGTCCCACCGTGGGATGCACCAAAGCCACCTGTGGATGGAGAGCCCTGCTTCTCCCGCAGCTGAACAGGCAGTCCCTGTACGTGTACGGCAGTGAGATGGCCGTGGAGAAGGAGTGCGTGCGACAGCTGCAGAGCGGAGTCTTTGTCATCCACCCGTTCAGCCTCATGAGGTATTTAATATATTTGATAGATTCAGGCCAGTCCTGTGCTGAGACACCACCTCCACTAGTTAGTCTTACTGTTTCTTTGAAAGTTGTGTAGTTCCTGCAAGTATATGCAGCCCATTATTTGCTTCATTTGACTCTGGAGGAATTATTAGCTTGTTTATTTGTATCCATATTATAAACAAAACAATAAGTGGATTCATTGATTGATAAAAACTGAATCTAAAAACTATTTTGATAATCAAAAAATGCCAAACGTGTTCTAGATCCAACTTCTCAAGTTTACAGATTTGCTGTTTTTCTTACTCTTACCGCAGTAAAACTCATTTTTAAGGTTTTGGAGTGTTATTTAGAGAAAACAAGTTGATGTTGTTGATCACCTTGAGTGTAAAGAATTGTGTTGGGCATTATTCAATAATAGCTGACATTTTATAGACTAAATGCTCAGAAGATAAATAGGTGATCTTTATTTTCAGCCACGCTCCATATGACTTGCACATTGCATTACTAATTTGTTTTCAGCGTTAGTCATCTATGCAATAATTGACTATGATTATTAATTGTGTTGCACTTCTGAGAGCATGTTTGAAAACCCACAAAAACAGAAAATTACAGGATAGTATAAAATGTAAAAAGCATTTAAACATCAAAGTATTCTTAAGCTGATACTGGAGGGTTAGAAGGAAAAAAGCTGTTTTGTTTTCAAGGACCCCTGGTTTTGCATTATTCCCTCAGTATTACTATTATTAGTTTGTAAGGTGATCAGATGCAGCGAAAACAGAGAGGGAATGAAACAATTGGGATCAGAGAGCAGAGTTATTTGAGCCTGACAATCGAACCCTGGCTGAGAAGATGTGCAGTTACAGTATCAGAGTATTTAGTGTGCATAAATCAGCTTGCCTTACCGGCTGCAGCATGACTGTCTAATGAGTCCTTCTGGCAAATGAACTGAGAATTTCCACTACAAACCTACATGGAAAACAAGATCTGAGGCTCACTCAAAAGTCGCACATGCTCACATACGTTTTTGTGATCTTTTCCTGTAGAAGTTACTACATCATGTGCATGATGGCCATCACATTTCTGAACCTGATTGGGATTCCCATGGAGATAGCGTTTCTGGATGGGAACAGCGGACTGGCATGGGAAGGATTTAACGTGTTTTCAGACACGCTGTTCTTGATAGATGTGGCTCTGAATTTCCGAATGGGCATCATTACAGAGGACGGCGAGGTGAGAGTGGCTGTACTCTATTTTCAGACACAATCTGGAAGACTATAATCCCTGCGCAGACAAGCACATACAATCCATCTCTGCCCCATCTGTAATCTACTCAATACACGAAAGGCTAGATTAACAATCCTCCCTTCCCCCAGCTCCTGTTCATGGGCAAAATCGGTACCTGCTGTTTGATTTTATAACAGGGATTATGATATATGGGATGAATGGGAAGTACACATTTCCAATTAAGTATTACGCAAACTATATCCTGTTTGTTTTTATCTGCCTATGCTTTGTGACTTCTATCTTGCCAATCACAAATGGCCCATCTGTGCTGTTTACTCTGGACCGCACAAGCATCTGGTTTTGCCAGATTTATTTTCAGTCGGTTACTGCCTGTTTGAAATATTTATGCCTGTGCTTGAGCAACAATTCAATGACGCTGTCAAATTAATGTTGATTTTCTTTCAGCCCACTGCTAATCTCATCTGACACCACTGTCTTGCTAAATTTTGGACAAACTCCCCAAATATTGGTTCAGTTCAAGTGTTAAATTATACATGTGATCGTGGCACATGCTGCACAGCATCTTCATCCATCTGCTCAATCTGCTGCTCTGTTCTCTTCGCAGGAAGCTATTCTGGATATCAAGCGGATCCGAGTCAGTTACCTGAGGACATGGTTCATTCCGGACGTTATAGCTGCTTTCCCAATCGGCTACATACTGCTGTTTGCGGTAATAATGAACAGGCTGTTGTGTGCTGCAGTCAGTCTATAATTAGAAACTTATGTGGCACTCAAAGCAGTAAGATGGTGTTATAACTACTGAGGAAAATGCAGTAAAATAAAAACTTTAGATTATTTGAAAATTCAATAATGGTAAAATTGGATTAATGACATAAAATAAATCAAACAAGAAACGTACCATTTATAATTGAGCATCTCTATTTTACTCCCCCAGGACTTACAATACCACAGCGATGACAACCCCTCCAAGACCAACAAGATGATGAGGATACTGATGTTTGTGCGGATCCTCAGCTTGATCAGGCTGGCTCGAGTGTCCAGACTGGTTAGGTTCTTCAACGAAGTGGAGAAAGTAAGTTCAAACCAGACAGGCTTTAAAGCTCACCTTTGAAATTCAATCAACCTTTCTCCTACCTGCAGATAGATACCTTACCAGACGTGGCTCCGATGACTAATCTTTGACTTACAATGACAATGTCGTTTGTAAAACAAGAGATGACTTATTGCTCCACGATCAACAATGCAATTTTCTGCAATTTTCTGATTTGCAACAGAATGTGCCTTTTTATAATGCATGTTCCCTAAGATTGGGCTCAAACAACAGATCCAGGACACCTCAAGCCTGCTTTGATGATGTCCGTTAATCTCATATTGAAACAATATATCTTGAAACAAATCTTGACACTGCATAATGTATGTGGGGGATTTGTGTGTAACTCCAAGCCTTTAAATGGCTTCTAGTAGCTGAAGTAAATGGTTTCTGGTGTATGTTTTGGTTACTGGAATCTAATCCTCTTTGACCCTTGTGGGACGTAAGGCCACAGTGAGCTCCATACATCATATCCTGTCCTTGGCAACACGTTAACCTTCCCCCCAAGTCAAGTTAATCTTGGCTAGCTTGTCCATCACAGTTCTGTGCCAGGTCATTTTATGTCTTCCAGGTTCTCTCCATCTTAGTGCAGCCTTTGGGATGAGATCTGCCGTCATCCGAATCACATGATCCAGCCATCACAGTTGCCTTGACCTTATTTCAGTAATGATATTCTTGCTGTTGGTTGTGATGTTGCTAGACCACATAACCAACATGGGCTGTTAATTTGGTGCTGTCACATAGATGGCTTTTGCTTTTAGATGTTACTGAGTTGTTTTTGGCATTCCCCAATCCTGCATTAATGTCCTTTGTCCTGCTCTGGTGGTGATGGTGTTGCATTAATGTGAATCACCAGAGTTTTGGAGGTGTTGATGTTGCAGTTTGTTTGCAAATACATCAAGCTTTTCTGGTGGGAGTTGGGTGCAGTAAATCTGTTTGGTACTTTTATTTAATAGGCTGTTAGATTAGGTCAGATCAACAAGGATAATTCAAAGCTCTGTCATTCTTGATGATAGTAATAACATTGTACTCAGTACGCACAAAGTTAATTGCCTAGATCTGCAAACACAGAGACATGGATGAACAGGAAGCCAGTTATCATAAATGATAGATATGATGATCAAAACTAAACTATAAAAATAAGACGCAGGTTATAATATATCAGAATGAACTTTTTTACAGCAAGTTAAAGTCATAAAGAAGGTCTGTACAGTATCTATAAATCCACAACTCTGTCCAAATGTTGCTCAACCTTAATCCCCATGGCTGCATTGTTTTAAAGTTGTTCTCTATTCCTAGAGGGAGTTGAATTTACTTAGCCAGAGATATTTTGATGTTGTTGATGTACCACTGTGCCGGTGATATATACTGTTTATATATAAAGTAGGCTTCCGAGGGGACATGGCTGATCCTAGACCAGGCTTAAATCCAGTATGCTGCTGTAATATGGAACACATCTCAGGCAAGCAATCTACCAGGACGTCCTGCAGTGTGCAGGATTTGCTTGCCAAAGTCACATGGTTTCTCGCCATCTCTTCCTGACAGGTGTCAAATGCAAACTTGGAGGTGGTCCGCCTGTTCTTCCGCATCTTGTCTCTGTTCATGATGATTTTCCTGCTGTGTCACTGGAATGGCTGCATCCAGTACTTTGTCCCCATGCTGGAGGAGTTTCCCACTGACTGCTGGGTCCGGAAAGAAAACCTGATGGTGAAACTAACTAGACAAATAAAAATGTATCGATTTAGTATACATATTTAGTAGTAATGTGACTAATGATGAAAGCATTTTTTCCAGAATGCCACAGTGATTGTGAAGTACTCCTGGGGAGTTTTCCGAGCTCTCTCCCAGATGATTGCTCTCTCCTATGGCTCCATGGATGCACCAACAAGTGAGAATTATCGATTTTCTTTGTCCATCGCTAAAAAAAGCACACATGTGTCACATTACCTCTCAGATATAAATACATTCCATTTCGCACTAAATCGATTTTGGTGTGTCGGTGTCTTGTTCTCCAGATTATGTTGAAATGTGGATCGTCATGGTCAGCATGGTGTCCGGGTGTCTGATGTACACTGTCCTCGTGGCCAACGCTACAACCATGATTGCCAACATTGACCCAGCAGCCAAAGAGTACAAGAGCAAGGTCCTCATTGGTGATACTATCCTGCACCAGAAAATACAGCTCAGTAGTAAACACGGTCCTTTACTCAGTGAAACGGAGATAAGAAATTCATTGACATTGGTTTTACATCAAGCTCTATATTATTTCAAGTTACTTTAATTTAATCGAGAGAGAAATTAAAATTTTTCTTGTGATATTTATTTGCTACTATTAATATATTTCATTACTTATTTCACTGCATAATACAGCATTATGCAAGTCACGTGACTTTCGCAAGACACTTATTTTAACCCAAGACAGACTTGGACATTTGTAAACATTAATCATAATTTTGAATATCAACATACAAATGTTCCCTTTACTCCTCGCATTTACACAGTTCTGGAAAGTGGAACTGTGCAGCTATGATACATCATTAAATATGCAGCTTGAGTAGATGGTTGCACTGTAAGGCTGTGTGTCATGTATCATGTGATAGGAGGGGGGATTCTGAAAACATATTGACTTTCCACAGATGAGCCGTTTGGAGCACTACATAACCTTCATGAAGCTCCCACCAGAGCTGCAGCTTCGTATCAACAACTACTACCAGGCTCGCTACGGAGGGAAGTGGTTTCAGGAGAAGGACGTCATGGACACCGTGTCCTCAGCGCTCAAAGAGGTACAGCTGTGGTTCTGTAGTACTGAGAGGTTCTGCTTGGAAATTAATGCTGTTACAGTTGTTGTTTCTTTGGGCCTTTGTTCTTCCTGTTGATTTTGTTTTCTTTTGAGACAACATGTTTTATAATGATCTTATATTTCCCTCTTTATAGTTCTTCAATTTGTAACATAATATTTGTATTTGTTCCCCAGCAAATCCTGATGGTGATGTGCAGCCGACTGCTAAGAAACGTACCATTGTTTCAGAACAGAGACGAAAACTTTATCAACGCCGTCCTCCTCAAACTGGAGTACGAGGTTTTCCTGGAGGGAGACGCCATCATTCGACAGAACGTCCCGGGTAACCGCATGTTCTTCATTGACCACGGCCAGGTCCTCATGGAGACTGATTCCTACGAGAGGGAACTGTGTGATGGAGACTATTTTGGCGGTGAGTTGGATTTACTCTGATTATTGAAAAGCGGGAACATCATTCAGTGATTTGAAAAGTGAGTTCCAGGCAGCGATAGTCAGGAAATGTGAAGTGGAAGAGGAGATGGCAGATGTCAAATGATTCACTTTACAGAAAGTAACATACAAGAACGTGTTTTGCAACTTGTCTCACAAAGTTTTCAGTCTAATTCACTGGAAAGCAGATTGTTTATACCTCTAGAAAAATAAGAACAAACTAAGACAAAATCAAATTCTTAGCTCATAGAACTCATTAAGTCACTTAACTTCACTCTTAGTAACATCTGTACTACCTAAAGCAAAAGTACAATAAGGACACAACAACACTGCTTACGTGTTATATAATGTAATGAATGAACAGAAGCAATAAAAGGTGCTACAAGCTCATTTGTCTTTATATTTTCAGCCTCCGTGGTATTCTTAAACACGTTTAGGTACATTTTGCACTTGGGAAATTTGCATTAAGCAATATCACAATAATATGTTATACTATGAAATATATGTTGCAGGTAACTGCTCTCAGATCAGATCACTGGAGGTTTAATGAAGGAATAAATGTGACGCCAAAAAAAGTCCACAGTATTGTCCACTTTGTAGCTTTTTGTGCTTTCAATCCCATCTCATGGTCTTTCTCAGCAGATGGAGTTGTCATCCCTGTGTTTCTTTTCACCATTATGTGTGTTTATGGTTGTTGGATTAATACTCATACTCTAGTGTATTAACTACTATATTGAGCTATGGAAAATACCTTTAAAGGGTCGGTCCACTCAAATTACAAAGTAATTGTTTTCACTTACTTCTGTTGTTTTTGTTTTTATGTTCAGATTTTGAAATCTTTTCTATATTTAGAAATCGCTCAGTTATACTCTGGATATTCCACAGTAGAACCCAACCAATATGGGATTTGGGGAATATACTGATTTAAGAGGGGAACAATTTCTATGTGGATTTTGCACTGATATGATGACACTCAGGAGGCTGCTTTCTTTTTAAAGTGGGGCTTCAGTGACAGGAAATGGGGTGGGGGGGTGAGCAAGAAGCGGTGTTTTTTAAATTACTGTCAAACTAAACTGAATGAATCTATCTTTTCCAATTTGGAGGATTTATTTAATTCTCAGGCTTTCAGTGGGAACAGGTCCTAATCTTTTTGGCAGCAAACCTCAGCAGCGTTTAGAGCTAAGCAGGCTTCCCGAAACAACTCAGCTATGTCTGGTTATTTTAATTTAGGATTAATTGTCAGATCTCATCCCTGTCATTAGGGTTTACTCGCTCATTAACCACGCTTTTGTGGTTCTCTCTGTGTGTACAACAGAGACATGCATGCTGACCAAAGGCAAACATCTGGCCACAGTGAAGGCACTGACCGACTGCCAGTGCTTCTCTCTGTCCTGGGACGACTTTCACGAGACGCTGGAGGGCTTCCCAGATGTCAAGAAGGACTTAGCAAAAATGGTTCAGCTCAACAATGATGTTGGACTTGTGTAAGACCACGTACTCGGACCTTTGTACTGTATGAGAAGGACAGGAGATATGGATCTTTCCAGGACATTTTATGTGTTTATATGATGGACAGTAAGACTATGACTGATTCCTCATGTGGACGGGTTGGACACTCATTCATGGATGAGATGGACCGTTTTAGAGCATTGACTATTTTCATTCTGATGGGGAATTATTCTGTCTTCTGATCCATCAGTTATCAGCAATAAACAAAGACATTAACAGTAAATACGGGTCAAACAGTTGATCTCTGCTTCTTTGTTGATATTGTGATTTAGCATTGCTGTTTGGAATGTCAATGCATACCTCAGTGACAAAACAAGAGAGCCATAAAGAGAAATTCTGGTTTCATACAACTTGGGCTTCATTTTTGTTGTTCTGGCCATCATTCCTATCAATAAAAACAACCAGTTAATTGCTGAGGTCTGTGAACACGGCAACAACAAACCTCACTAAGCAAAATTAATTGAAAAGGCAAACTTTAAAAGGATTACCTAACAAGAAGGGCACTCTGAGACCTCTGCCAAAGTGCTCTGTCCTCCTCCCTGTGCTGCTGTTGTGGTTCACTGCCTGCAGGTAACAACAACAACAACAACAACTGCAGACAAAGCAGGTGGAAATATTGTTTTTGGTCAAACTGAGTAAAAAAGGTACTTCACTCCACCTGAATCACTGTCTCCACCACAGTCTCTTTCTGCGTTCTACTGCTGAGCCCCACCCTCAGTCAAACAGAGGAGAGGACAGAGAAGCTAGCGCGACCAGTATATTTTTTATGGATCTGCATTTGTTTCTAAGGTGATGTTTGAGGCGGCTTCTATGTTTTTTTTGTATGTTTAGTTGTGGGACACCATTTACTTCAAAAACAAGAGAGAAATAATTTCATTTTGCTATAAGAAAGTGGAAAATAATTAGTGTACCTGCAGCGTGATTCGGATCTGTTCCAAAATTGAATGGGTTCTTCCTTGGTCTATGCTCCCACCAGGTTTCATAAAAATCCGGCCAGGAGTTTTTCCCTAATCCTCCCGACAGAAAAACCCACAAACCGCACTGAAAACATAACCGCCTTTTCCTGTTGTTATTATGGCCACTCATCTATCACAGTTTAGAACAACCTCTTTAACTTGATCTACGGTACGGTCACCCTGTTCCGAGATCTCAGCAATTACTTTGAGTCCCATGCTAGCGGCTCTGTGAGGCTGTATTTAGGCACAGTGGTGCTTTGAGCTAAAGGCTAATATCAGCATGCTAACATGCTCACAACATGTTGATGTTTCAGCAGGTATAACCATGTTCCCCATCTCAGTTTAGCGTGTTAGCATGCTAGCTGAGGCTGATGGGAATGTCACGTTTTGCAGTTATTTATTCACCTCGTAATGGCGCTAGATAAAAAGTCAGGCATCACCAAAGTCATGAATTCATCCTCTGGGGACTGTGAATGCGATTCAGCTAATATTTGTTGACATATTCATCCTGGACCAAAGTTAGGCCGACTGTCTGACATTGCCTTCCCTGCAGCTGTTTCTCTAAGGATGGCTTAGATAAGACCCAAGTTGTAGTAAACTGGAATTTCACTTTAAAGCAAGGTAAGAAAAAAACAACTCATGTACGTCATTTTTCTTTTTCTCTAAAATGACATTTATTTGGAAGTAGTATTACATAAGACATGTTGATGCCACTGTGAAAGCAACAAAAATAAAGCCGATACTGTAATATGATTATGAAACAGCTGTGTGAGAACAGAAGGTTGTTTCCTCTCCCTTTCATCCAAACACGCACACGGTGCCCGAGGCCAGCCGGTGTTTGTACTCGTAGAGGTAGAAGGAGGCAGGAGGGAAGTTGCACTTCATCTCCATCCTGCCCGGCACCACGTGGACAGCCACACCAGATCCCAGCCCCTCTTGTAGCTTCTTCAGCATGCGGGAGGCCAGGTAACGCCGCGCTCTGCCTGGGTCTTCTTCGATGGAAGCATATACATCAGGTGGCGGGTTGGGGATCTTCCACTCCAGGTCCACGATGAGCTGGTGGATGCGGCTCTTGTCCAGCGAAGTGGGTGTGTCACGGTAGCACGCCACCACATGGGGAATTGGTGCTTCAGACACCACAGAGAGGAAATTGTTGGGCTGCTGTTCTGCCGGAACGTCTCCCTTTTCCTCTTGCGTCTCCTCATCCTTCTCATCCTCCATGGGTCCTACGGCAGGGTGGAGCATCACTGCCCAGCGAAGCCAATCGTAGTTCTTCTCCAGGGCCTTCAGGATGCTCGCTGCCGCCTCCTCAGGGGGTGCACGGTTCTGCACGGCCTCCTGGAGCTGCTGTCGTACATCCTCCTCCGCCTGCTCCAGAAAGTAGCTTAAGCAACGGCCTCCTGAGTTCTTCATCTTCCTGTAGAGGGCGCCCATGCGGTCAGACCAGGTCTTCATCAGCAGAGCCTGGTCTCTGCCTGTCAGAGAAGCCTGCGTGAAGAGGCACAGCAGACCGGTGCCAAGGACAAAGTTTACCTGTTGAGAGGAAGAGGAGGAAGAGGAAAAAGCTTTCAACTGTGGTCAAAAATAGTTTAGAACATGTGTTTAACCCTGCGGGAGTACCAGATGGGTTGTTTTACCACATGAATGCTGTTCAAATAGTGTTGGTTAAAATTAAAGCTGGGCTTTGCAACTTTTCCAACTGTTTGCCCTGAAGAAGTGATTTCTTTGAAATAAATGTAAAAGTATTCAGAAATTTTGACCGAGTAGTCACAGCATTTAGGAGCCTCGGGAACTAAAAGTCCCGTTATTATATAGCCTTATTATATAGCCATTTGCAGTTTGACCACATTGGAAGAACCACATAAATTGTACAAGAAAGTGATCTTAATAATTTGTGTAGCAAGACTTTAAAACTTTGAATTGCTATTGATTCCTGTGTACAAAGAAGCGAGTGTTTTTGTCAAGTTATTGTTCTGCTTTTGTATGTAGCTGACAATGCCAGAACGATTAGCTAATAAAGTTTCATTTAATTTCTCTCGTTATCTCCTAGTGTTGATACTTGACACTAGAACCAACCTGTGGATGGGTTCCAGCCAAATGAATGCTGCATACAAGTTGTAGCAGTACCATGGCATGGGTTTGTTGATATTCTACTGTGGTCTCCACTCTGATAGTCCCTAGGCCATGGGAATGTACTATCTCAGAACCTTTTGGAGAGGCAGGAACTACAACCCTGGAATCAAAACTGAAGGCAAGTTGCTGCATTTGAAATGCAGGCTAATTCCTGGAGTTTGTAGAGAGTTTCTGGGTTCCTGACCATGTTCTTACAGCCAACAAGAGCCATAATAACTACACACAGTATGTCTACTCTGATATAATAAGCACATCAAAGAGATGACAGCATAAGAACCTCCACAGTATTTAGTTCAGCTTTCAGAACATGTGCTGACGGCTATTTATGAAAAGTTTGGATTTCAGATTCAGGTTTTGATAGTCTCTTCCCCCTGTACCGAAAACACTTCTGACAAATCTTTTTCAGCTTAATTAGTGGGACACTTTAAGACTCATTTCAGCTGATAAAATGGGTTTATATCAAGATCATGTGTAGCGCAGCTTTAATGAGTTGTTTACGACACTGTATTGTCCCATCTGGGAATTTTGCAGACTACACTGAACATAAAAGTGTTACAGCAGAACAGAGGCTGGTTAAGACTGTTTTGGCTCATTCTCTTAAACTGAAGCGAACACTTGGCCCTGCGAGACCGTCCAAGCTCCTTAAAATAAACTACACAGATGTCACAAACTCTTCGTGCAGACAAATATGCAAGGTTATCCAAGGTTAGTACACAGAGCCACAGAGGTCTGTCACTGTCTGCAGATCTTTAGGTGAAAATGTATGGGTGAGGTGGATTCTGTCCGATTTACAAAAAAAGACATTGCCTGTGTTCTTGTGCCAGCAGGAGAGTAAAAGATACACATATACTTATCACCAACAACATGTTTGTACATGATAAGTTCTTCAAGGTTAAAGAAACATAGCTGGGGTTCCTTTGCTTAACAAGGTCAGGTTCTCCGGTCCGGACACATGATTTTCAGCGGTGACTTTGATTCCTAATCCGTCATGTTGCTGCCCTTCTCAAAAAATAAAACCTACTGCTCTGCACTGAAGATTTCTCAGCTCATTACACAGAATAAAGTTCGCTTGGTTGTACATTGTTTATTGGATAATTTCACTATGATTAACCATGACTGCACCACGAGGGCAAATTTAACAATTCTTTGCACCTCAGTGAATATACTGAACTTTTATATTTCAGGTCGTAGTCCAAACAAGTCCTTTAACGGAGCATCACACAAACAAATTCATTCAGCTCCAATTTCAAGCAGAAATTACTTTACTTTAGACTTTAGGCTAATCCACTGAGGCTGGCTCTTTCACACACTAAAGCCCCTTGATAAGAGGACTCTGGATTGATTTGAGTTTCTAGGATGAAAGCTCAGTGAAAACAGCAGCTTTGTTGAACAGAAAAACACTACACAAATTCTCATGGGAATAAATGCTCAAAAATGCAGTACTATGCAAGGTGGGGATACATTTGTATGTGTCAAAGATAGGGAATCCTTTCTTGTATACCGTTGGATCTTTCTGAATACAGGTCCTTTATGTCCAGTGTCTTTACACTGCCCTTAAAACGATCTTAGATAGTGTGATGAGGGCTAAATAGTGCCCCGACCCAGGTCATGTCTGTATTTAAAAGCTGATTATATAATTACTTTTACATAACAAACAAGCTTGTGACTGCTGCAGTGCTTGTTAAGGTCCATTTCTTCCTACAGTGGACGGTCATTATGGGTCTTGCTCAAGGGCACTAGGACAGATGGACTAATGGACACATGATTGTTCATTTGAAACAGTGAACAGTTTGCTTTTATATAAGAAATATGAGAAAAAGCTTGATTTGAACCTATGAATAAAGAGAAATATGTGCACTCATTGGCTTTTTGGGGTCTCAAACTGGCCATATTTTTATGACATCACGGTTATGTAATGTGGTTTCACACAGAATACAGTATTCAAGCTTTTCTGAAATTCCTGCTTTAATTGGAAGTTAAAAGCCTGGGCAGCTCAGCCATCGCAGCACTGTATCGTTGCTCCTTTTAGTGGATAAAAAACATTTGTTCCTGTACCAACCGAGTAGGCAAAGGGGAATTTGCCAACTCAGCTCACAAGAAAGACAACAGAAGGTCACAGCTCTGCTGAATTAAATATTCAGTTTATTTTCGTAGCGAGAAGATAGATGCAGCATGCTTCAGTCCCCACAGGACCTTAATGTTTTTCTGTCAAATATATATTTTTGGTCTGGAAACTGAATATTTTATCCTGTACAGCTGTGCTTCTCAATGCTTTTTTCCTTATAAATCTGTCCACAGGGAAAATATATTGAGTATATTTGCATTATTTTGATGGAATGCCATCTGAAATAGCTTTTTAATTCTTGGATCTGATGAAGAATACTGTACATACTGATGACAGATCATCTGCAGTTCCAAAGCTGTTTGTGTCCTTTTAATTTCTGTCAGTTTTATTCTATATACTTTTATTATTGTGTGTGTGTGTGTGTGTGTGTGTGTGTGTGCAGGTCACCTCAGACTTCCTCCTGCTGTAGTTAAGCAGGCTTGCATGCCTCTGTATAATGACTTGTATAATGAGATACAATTAAACTTTAACGACCCCTGCAGGGAGATGAGTTGAACACAAAGACCCCCTGCCCACCCCTCCACGCTGTGCCCTGCACCTTCACAAACCTTGATGCAGAACTCCCTCAGCTCCCAGCGTTTGGGCTTGCGGCTCAGTATGAGCTCCTCCAGCAGTGTGGGCTGGTCGGTCAGCGCCGAAACTCCCATCAGGCGGTTGTAGAGTGCTGTCAGCTGCCTCTCCAGCCGGTAGTCCTGCACGTACTGCAGGAACACTTCCGTCTCCTTCTTGGTGAAGTCTGACTGGGCCCTCACCTGAAATAAGCAGGGGTGAGGGGATTTCTCTTAAGATATAGTGCTCAATGGGGCAGACTCGGGCACAGTGTCAAAGAACAGAGGCACATTTATAAAATACTTAAAAAAAAATAAAATGTAAGACTAATTTAAGATTAACAGCAATAGGTAAATAATAAACTGTACATTATTAATAGTTACATAAATAAATGAATGACAAAGTAACAACTTTGATGTATATAATATATAGTTTCTCATTTTTTATATTCTATTATGAAATAAAATTATAAATAGTTTCTATTTGGACATGGACAGAATATGAGACAAGGGGCCCCTGGACACAGACAGCCCTCCTACATACAAGCAAAACCAGAGACCAAGGCCAAAAGAGACACAAAAAAACTTTAAATAATGCTGGTTTTGTATTCTCTTTGTGGTAATTATGTGTCTCTGTGGTTGCCTGTTGTGTCTCTTTTTCGCTCTCGATTTACAGCAGCTAACTCATTTGAAGTTTTACTCATACTATCCACTGCTCAAATTAGGTGTTAGTTTGAAAATAAAGTGTCAAAATGTCAACACTGAGCCTCTTGAATATAACAATGAGAAGGTGTATAAAGATGATTGTCTTGCTAATAGGTTTGACTCTCCACCATGTTTATGTCATCTTACCTATTTCAATTTATTTAATTCTATCAAACAACAAATCTCTCACATTTTCACAATGAGAAGACCTGAAAATGTCCCATGAAAACATACCCAAAATCTACCTAAAATTGCTGTTGCTGTCTAAGTGTCTTTGACATTCTCACTCCAGAAACTTCACTGCAACTGACACTGATTATTCTGTACTCACACCAGCTCCATTCACTTAATTCAGGAAGGTTTGGGGTTTTTTTTTTTAAATGCAAATGCATGAAAACTTATTATGAGATGCAATGTCTGCTGTGTTTAGCCCATTTAAGAGATCTGTACAAATAAACACTGAGTGAAATAATTACATAGAAAATAAAAGACATAAGGCTGTTCATGCTGAGTCTGGTAGAACGAAACAGATGCTTCAATTACACATCTGGTTACATGTTTACATTTACATAATACGCTTAGCATGATGAGCTCAGTCACAGTCACGCATCAGTTTTGGGAAACCGGCAGAGTCTTTGTTACTCACCAAGGTCAGCTCGACCTTAGGAGCCCTTAACCTTAAACTACCAAATGTAGCAGTTAAATGAGCGCACTCTCTTCCCTCTATCTTTTATCCAGCAACAGGTCACAGCTCACTGTTCAGTTTTAATTCAATACCAGGTCCTTCGCCCTTTTTCTCTGACCCAACTTGATAGCCTCAGAAGGTCAGTCTCAAGTCTGTTCAAGGACAGTTTCAAAACTTTGATCCCAGCATTTTTAAACAAGTGGTTTCAAAACCATAAATCTATACATTTATGTCATTCATCAGGGGAAGCAAAGGTTCAAGTCCTTAAATTTGTAAGCTTCTGTCCTGTACTGAGGTGTCCTTGAGCAGGAAATTTAATCCCTTCTAGTCACGAAGAGATTGCAAGTTGAGAACATTAGAATATATTTCCTTTCAAATACAGAAACAAATAAGCAGTATATACTTTCCTTCACATTGAGAGAAAGGTGGTTTCAGGACACCAAATTATGATGATGCATTTCGAGTGTCATCTGGAGTGTTAATAGGACAGTTGCTCACTCATACAGCAGACAAACTATAACTAGAATAGTATTGATTTTTAACGGTTTTAAAATTGTTACATGAGGAGAGGTAAATAAAAGGTTATGTTATTATACAAATTAGGTCTCATCACTTAGTCTGGCATTAGACTACCCTCCAAAATAACAAGATAAGAAGTTGGCTCCACTCAGTACAACTGTATATGTGAGTTCCAGGGACAGTTTCCTCACCGCTGTGCCAAGCTGGTAGTAGACCACTGCCAGGTCGTCCTCCAGCCGGTGGACCTCCTGGTCATCCAGGAGACCGT